ATGTCACCTCACAACCTCTCTCTCTGTCCAGGAAAGCACCAAGGCCGCATGAGAAAGCATGCACGGAACCATCTGAAGGATTTCCAGCATGCACAGACCTAAAGAGTGTAGACGGCTCGGGCCGAACGTGACAAGCGAGATATGCTGAGTGGCGGGCCATGGAAATGCAGGCGATGAAAGGGGGCCTTGACAGGTGGCAGCTTCGTGCTTTTGATGTGAACCTACCGAGAACGATGATCACCATGGTCCATGGTAATAACGGTTGTGAAATGAGATGATCGGATCTGCGCGGCCCTGATTTGATATGATACGATTCGATACGACATGACATGATGTTCTGACATGACGTGATATGAGATGAGATGAGATGAGATGAGACGAGACGAGATGAGATTAGATAAGTAAGATGAGATGAAGTAAAGTGAAATGAGATGATAACGCGATGGCGATGTGGATGTTGATGGTCATCTTGATGTTGATGTTGCTTGATGTTGATGTGGATGCTGATGTTGATGTTGATGCTGCTGTTGCTGCTGTTGCTGCTGTTGCTGCTGCTGATGATGATGATGGTGATGATTCGATGATGATGATGATGATGAAGAAGATGATGATGATGATGATGGCGGCGGTGGTGATGGCGATGGTGATGGTGATGGTGAAGATGATGAGGAGATGAGGATGAGGAGGAGGAGGAGGAGCAGGATGAGAATGAGGATGAGGATGAGGAGGATGAGGAGGATGATGATGATGATGACGACGACGAAGCGGAGCCGTTGCTGTTGCGTGCTGGCTTCATTTGCTGCAGATGTGGCAATGGGTTCACTTATGGGTCCGGGTTGTGCAATCTTGCGGTTCAGGGCTCCGGGTTTGCGTTCACAGACCTCAAGCCCCACTTCCGATACTGCTGAGGCTATGATGTCCACAGCCAGAAGTCCCTCAGCTCGAAAACCCTACACACCAAAGGCGCAAGATAAGATTTGCGCAACCTTTCAAGCCAAGCCGGTAGAGAGCATAGCCCCGGCTAGCCGGAAGCCGCAGCAGCCAAGACGAGAGGATCCTGCACGACTCCTTCCGATTCAGGGTTTCGGGTTTAGGGTTCAGGGACACCGGGTCCGCAGCACAAGGCTGAGTTGTTGGCAAGAAATCTCGGCCCCGGACACCGAGCCCAGAACCTCCAGCGACGAGATCGTCTTCCTTCTGAGGCCTGGCACTGTGTCTTCAGGGTTTAGGGCTTCGGGGTTTAAGGGTTTCAGGATTCTACACCGGTTACTCTAACTACGAGACGGCATCTCTGAAACGAAACTCCAGAGAGTGAGCCTTGGCTTACGAAAGCGGCCCCCGCCCCCCACTTGCTCTCGCGCGCGCGCGCGATTTCTAAGTCAGGGACATCAGAATCCGAAAACCATCGGACGAGAAGACCAACGACTTCGTATGTGGTAGAGAGGTCTTATTGGTTATGAAAAGTAGTCCCGTATAGTCCCTATATGTAATGGTATAGGATGCCCAAGACCTCAGTCTAATCATTACGGCCCCTAATGGCCCCTATGTTAGGCCTGTCCCCATCTTGGGGCTATCCCGGTGACGGTTCAGTCTAGACTTTGGAGCAAAGGGCCTTCTTTCCATTATCTCAGGGGGTAGTTGACTTCAGTTCCGACGGGCTCCATGGTTTAGGGTCTAGGGTTCCGGGTATTTCCACCTAGGCCTAACACCCTCGAAACGGAAACCCCAACTAGTCCAGGCCCCCAAACTCTCCCAAAGCCGGGCCCCTTGCCGGCAACGTCCAGCCATGCCAGTGCCAGGTTCGTGGCCCTGTAGTTTTGGGGGCTGGGCTTGGGTTCAGGGCTTTGGGGCTTTGGGATCCACGGCTCTTGAGGGACTTGGGGCATTCAGGGCTGCTAGTAGGAGGGGATTTCGTCGCTAGCTTCGTGCTGTCAGGGAGCCCCGAAAACACAGACAGAACTACCCGGAGCGAAGCTTAAAAACAATCTGTAGGCAAAGATGTAGAACGTTTAACAGGACACCACTACTGGGGCTTGGGGATTTCACGGAATAGCATCTCGTGTCGTCTCCATACCAAGTGTCCTGGAACACTAGGGCTCGAAGGCTGCGACGTTTCTATTTGTAAGTTCAAGACCCGTGCTCCATCTCTGTGCGCAGGAGTCAACAGCTGGTAGGTTAGATAGGCCAGCTTCTTCGTCTTCTCCCATACGACTACACGTCCTTTGTTCTATGCTGCGCATCACGTAGCTGCAGAGCAGTTCACGTTCGCCAGATCAGCCCTCCACCGACCCCTCCGAGAGCGGCGCTGGAAGACCAGGACTAAGGCAAACATGATGGACGGCCTCGGCTTCGGGTCCGTAAATATATCCCTGAAACACACCCACCCATAATACTGAAAAATCCTTTGCCAGGAAACCCTCCTCGGACACCGCTCAGATATGCTCAGATCTCAGCGAACGGTACTCCAGCACCGTGAGACCTGGGTACGTGCGAAGCGGTGCGAAGCGGTGCACACGCCGTGAAAGGCATCGCAACCTCCACGATGTGAACCTCTTTTGCTCGGCATCGGCTTGAGTACATGATAAAATCATTAGCCGCAGCGGGCTTGCTGAACAACTGCACAGCCTGAGGTCCGAACCGATCACGTAGTAGGACATGGTCATGCAGATGTGGTTCACGCCAAGCGACATGGAGACCTTTGGGTTTCTGCAATCTTCGAAGAACTCATGGCGCGTGTGTGCTCTTTTCGGACATTTGTATCTTTGGGGCCTTGTCTTTGTGCTGATGTTGCTCCTGATATTCGGTTAGTTATGCTTGGCAGATTAGGTCAAATGAGACAACCTCAGGTTAGGATGGGCTTGACTAGATTGCATTAGATTAGACTAGACGAGATTGGATTAGATTCGATGAGATTAGATGTCGGTTACGCTACAGTGTATAACATTCTTTCACATTGTCTTCTATTCTATTCTGCTCGGCTGCTGTCACTATCTTCGGGCCCTGCTGGATGAAAATGTCTCCGAAAACCCTATCCGAATCATTAAAGCCATAAACTGCAACCACTCTTAAAACTCTTCAAAAACCTATAAACCTATTCAGTTCGTGAAACCCTGATCTTCTTCTCGCTGGGGCTGCGAGCACGAGCGTAGGCGTCGTAGCACTGCCACTTCGCTTGGAGCCTCGGCTGCAGGCCTCCCTGCTAACTCATTATCCCAGCATGCTCCGGTCCAGCAAGGCCCGGTAGCGGTCTGCGGAAAACCTACGGAGACATCAGGAGCGGGTGCCAGGAGGGAATATCCCACAGACCCCTCATATCATTTCACTCCACAGTAATACCATGGCCGCCTACCTGTCCAAGGAAACTCCACGCCCACACCAAAACGAAGCTGGCCAAAAAGCTCCCGGAAGAGGCGGATGTGCTTTCCCGGCAGGTTCTGCGCAGCCTGATCGACAGAATCACCTATGGGCCACAGGCTGATAACAACCATCATAACTATGACATCACCACAACGTCGTAAACACAAAAAAGCAGTGCTCAATAAACAACACTTGTGAAAACAACACTTGCAGCCACGAAAGGCTAACTGCAAAACCGAAAGCAGTAGCAATCAGGGGTACAGGCGGTTGGGCAAAACTGGTGTAACATCAACGGTAGTTCTAGTAACTCTTGTAGCACCGGCCCCATCATAGTTAAGCCCTGATGAGAAAAGGAATCCATATCAGGGTCGTCCCAAATTATCTCGCTAATTAGGCTTGCAACTAGCGAGAATGACGAGAAGCCAATCACAACGATGCTGATCAGAACTACGACCCTGGCCACCAAGAACAACAGAACCTCTAGCGCTGCGTCATAAGCGCGGATACTGAGGACGACAGTTTGCGCACCAAGAGCGATGTGCGAAAGCTACCAAGGCACACTAATCGGAAGACAAGAAGGAAAGCAGTGGTGCACACGCTTGACAGAACGGTGGTGATGCAGATGATGCTCAGGTAGCAAGTTGTATGAATCGAGGTAGGTCCCTCCCACGACAACTGAGGAATTCCAAACAATCCGCTCAAAGATGACATCACAAGGCCGAAAGCTTATACACCCAATAACCTCATCAAGAAGGCATCTGACCCGGAGCCCCAAGATCGACGCACAACAGCAAGACGTCGGCCGAGCCATTTGGGTCTCAGGGTGCTGGGCCTTCCGAGTGTCTAGGCGGTTCCCTGACAAAACGGGCTTTGCAGTTCGACTTGCGTCACGCGCACCTCCTGTGTCACGGGCACCAACACGACAGCAGTTTCGACCCTGCCTGCTGGAGCCCTATCTCATCGTCCTGGTAGGCCTAGCAGTGCAAGCCCCAACGATGCAATACAGGTGTGTTAAGGCTGAACCTTCTTCTGCCGGCCTTACGGTGTGGGGGTTTCGGGGTCCAGGGTCATCACTACCACCGCAGAAGATCCTGCCATCCTACGCTTCGACTTCACCACTACTTTCCAATTCTTCGAGTGGTCAGCTCCTTAACGGATTCTTTTTGGGGGTTCCTGTAAGGGGTTCTTCAGTGTTTCGGGTTTAGGGCCAGTGTAGGGGTCTTCTTAGGGTCCCTTCTCGGGAGTTAAATCGTCAGCAACCACTCCTCTTGAAACCATCATGCTACGATTGCTGTTCGTGCTACCATGACTGTCATGACCTGCATGGCAGAAGAAAGTGACCTCGGGACACCCAATCACTGGCATTGCTCTTCCCCTTTCAACACGGAAGGTAGCAAGTGCTAGTGCTATAATCACGTGCTTAGCAACATGTAATCCGGATGTGCTCATGCAGTTCATGTTATTGTGACGATTGTGTTTACGACTCCGCCTGTCCATAGAGCTGCTGTCACTGCTTGCATAGTCCATGCTTCAGGGGCCATCATTCTGGAAGTAGAAGGGCACCACTGGTCTCGAAAATGCAGCGCCGCAAGGATCTCGAGTTGAAGGGCAAATGCTCGGGCATCCAGCGTCTACAACAGGACACCCCAGCCCGTTAAAGAGAACTTGGCGAGATTGTCGGAGCCTGCACGCCCTCCTCCAAGAGGTCCTTCGTCGGACTTCGTGTGGGCTGAGGGGTGCTTGCCAGTATAACTACACGACTGTGGAGGTGGTTTGCAAACCTTCTGTGAAGGGGCTGCAGGGACGTGCTTTTTCTTGCCATTCCTCTTGCAGCAATTGTTTTGGATGGCGGGGAGGACTCCGTCCAAGCACGAAGGGCTCAGGGCCCAAGATTCCGGAGCTTCGACGAGTTGGTCTCGCAGCTTTGAGCCCCAACCCCGGCCCGGAAACCCTAAACCCTAAACCCCCTAACCGTGCCTGCTGCTTCATGCCCCCGGGCTGCACCACAGCGGTCATGAAGTTCTCATCTCCCTGGCAGTGCCGAGCAGAGGGGGCAGGCTCTGGACATGGAAACTCTGGGGGGGAGAAACTTGCGGTGATAATGATCCTGAAGATGATGATGGTGATTGTGATGGTTATGAAAGGAATGATTATATCAAGAGACGCATCAGATGTGAAAATGAGGATAATGATCATGAATAGAATTGAGGATACCTGCTGTTGCCGCTGCTGTTGTTGTGGCTGCTGTTGTTCCGGCTGCTGTCGTTGTCGGTTGAAGCAGCTCCAATTGGCCTTCAAACCCCAAATCCCCGAACACCTTTCGAAGAACCTCGAAGCGCCCCTTAAATCCGAGCAAGAGCCCCGAAAGGGCCCCGAAAGGGGCCCCGGGTATCGCTGCCTCGCCCACGCCGAGGCCCGGGTCTGGCTGATCCTTCAGGTCCCTGCCCGGTTTCTTGTTTCGGCATTAGGGATTCGGGTTTTCGACTTTTTTGAGGGTTTAGGGATCAGGGACTAGGGAGTCGGGTTCAGTTTAGGGATTAGGCTTTAAGGCTCTTTTTGGGGGGTTGTCGGTTGATCTTGTCTTTTCTCGGGCTACGCTTCTGAAAGTGTTAGGTTTCGACTATGCCTTCGAATATGGGGTTTTGCGGTTCTGACAGGCAAAGGGCCCCAACAACCAACCAGATTCGGACGCGGGCCTGCGTTGCTGCCACTGCGGCACGTCCCTTGTGAAGGGGATGCGCATGATCTTCTTTCCCTGTCCTTGGCAGCAGAAGCCCCGCTTAAACCCGGGCTTGGCCCTCACAATGATAGAAATACTAATAACCTTAAAATATGAAGAAGCAGAGTCATGCTAGCAAGAATGATAGTAATACGATCAGTGCGACTAGCAATTATGATAGCAAAACTACATATACTAAGAAAAGAAATACAAAGGCGGGGCCCGCACGTTCGAAGTCGGTCAGCCGCGCATTGAGCGCATTGATCCTGGAGAGGTGAACGGGTTTCCTTCACAAAGAAAGGGGCATTTAGGGTTTAGGGTTGAGGGTTCAGAGTTTAGGGTGAGGCTGTAAACCCTCTTCTTTGGGTGAAAGGCTTTGGGAGCCTGAGGGCCAAATTTTGAGCCCCACTGCTAGAAAAGCATGAAGAAGTGTTGTGACGATGGTGCTCAAACATGACATGCCTTCCTTAGATCGTTCGGTCTTGTATCCCAAGAATTTTTTTCGGAGAGTGGATCTCACAAGTCCATCTCGGCTCCCGGCTGCTGGCTTCCAGGGATCGGCAGACGGATGAAGCGCGTGAGGAGCCGGACCTCGTGGGCCACTTTAATCGTTATTGCTATTGCTGTTGCTGTGACTAGCGTTACTATTGTTGTTGCAAATACAAGTATAGTTTTCACTGATATTAGTATTAGTACTTAGTCTCCCCTGCACGTGAAGACTCCGCATTGCGCCCTTTTGTGGTTTCTGTTTGTTCTAGGATTCAAAGCTTTAGGGTTCAGGGTTCTTGCTCCGGGCTTTCTCTCCTGGGGTTTGAAATGACCTCACGGGTCTGGGGGCTTTCAGAACCTTAACCCCATGGCTTTTGGGTTGAAACTGTCGAGTTCTGCATTGCGCCCGAAGGTCTGACCATGTTTGACCAAACCGAAACACTTCAGCCCACATTGCCAGGCGCCCACGTTCTCCTAGCCCTGGTCCCTGGTAGGCTCTCGAAGTCAGGGTAACTGCAGAGAGGTTTGTTTGGGGCTTAGGGTTTAGGCTTCAGGTTTGACATGCTGACCCAGGTGCTTGTAATTACCCTGCACAGTAGCAGGCTGCGTGCTACCAGGCGGCCCCAAAGCTGTGCGAAGAGATGGAAGCATACATGCTGAACCTCGGAGTGCAGGTAGCTGCAGCTCTCGAAGCTGCTGTGGCAAACTACAAAAGATTGCCCCACACACACACACACACAAAGGAGATGGAAAAAAAAAAAAACTACATATGGGGTTCCTTTCCACACAATGTCCATGCGAGCCCAATACCCCGCAACTGAGGAAACATATAGTAAACCCCAAAAAGTTGGAAACCGGATTAAGGACAAATAGTGCCGGGATTCCTTATACATTACTGTTAAGGATTGAGGCTATTGGGTTTCCAACTTTTGGGCTTCTACTGTATGTCTTTAAAAATCAGCAACTTCATTTTCGGATTTAAGAATCTTGCTGGTTTGAGGGCATTGGGCCCTCGGGGTCATCTAGGGCATCGAGCTCTGAGGTGCTGAAGTTCACAGCCCGTTAGGAGCCTCCAGCTCCGAGACCCATCTGACCTGAACAGCCATCCGTCTATTACTACTATTGTTGCTAGTATTGCTCTTATTGGTGTTTTAGTATTATTATTCGTACTAGATTCTGTTTAGCAGTATTGTTGTTATAGATCCTCTTATAGAAGCCTTGGCCCCGAACCCTACCTCCCATGCCACGTGCTTGCTACTTGTGGCTCGCAACAAGAGCATGATCACGAGCAATCAGCATCAGCATCACCATCGACATCATGGAGACAAAGAGGTATTAGCTACCTTTACTCTGAGCGACTGCCATAAAGCCTCGAAGGGCCTCGAAAACCCCAACCCCGAAAGTCCCAGGCCTGGAAGCCCTCTGGATGTCTTCTCCTTGGGGCTTCCCGGCATGGCTCGGGCACCCGGCCACACACAGAGCAGCACGTAGATAAAGGTACCCGCAGCCTGACGCCGCAGGGCTGTCGAAGGCTCAAAGCAACCCCTGCTCGATCCTGTCAAGCTGAAGCTCAAGCCGCAGGGCCCTCCCCCAAATTGAAACGACGTCACATGCGTACGTACACGTGCAGACACATATCTCTCTGAGATCAATGCATGCACATATTTGTTGCTCTTTATATTGTTGGTCAGTACGTCAGTCAATCAATCAATCAGTCAGTCAAGTCAGGCAGTCAGTTTTCCTCAGGTAGCTACTAGTAGTTAGCTGGCCCATGCAGCAAGCTATTAATTAGTTAGGTAATCGGTGAATTAGCCACTTCTGTGGGTTTAACAATATTCATGTCTAATGTCAAATTAATTGACTACTCCTTCCTTCTTTCCTCCCTTCCTTCACTCACATTTAATTACCGATCTATCCATGTACGCATGCTCTCCCAAGGCCCGACAGCCCTACATGACCCTAGTCTATACTTCCAAAGCCACCCATTCGCGCATGCCAGGCTCGTGCTCGCAGGGGCCCCGCACCGAGAGCCAGTAGAGGCCCAGTAGGAAGGGCGGGGACGACGTCTTGGGCGCGGGGCGTTCGTTGCGGGCTCTGTTCGGATCATTGTTTGGGAAGGAGCTTTGGTTGGGGCTTGAGGGTTTTGGTGCCTTGGAGCTTTGGGAAGTTGGGGGAGTAGCGGACCCAACCCTTGGAGCCGTAGCGATAGTCTTTCAGGCCTTTCCCGCGATAGGGATACATGGAATATCACAAGGCCTCAAGTTACGTGAGTGATGCAGGGACCAGAGAACAAAGATCAAAGCAAACAGGGCCATGACCAGTAATCATGTCCCGATGCTGCTGATTCTGGGCCTCTTGGGGCAGGTCACCTACTTCAAAGAAGGGTTCCACGACAGATGGTCCTTTTGCGGCAATCTGGCAACCCTCAGCTCGGCCCTTGACCCGGATGCGCCCCTCCGTGTAGTAGATAACCGTGCACTCCAGCACCAGCGCCCCGACGACATGGTACCTGACAGCTGGTTCAGCTGGGCTTTCGGGCTTTTAGTTTAGGGGGCTTTGGCTGAGTCTGTTGAGACTGCACTGCAGCAGCTTGTCGAGCTTACTTTACAGTTCCTGCTTACGTTCGGGAAACTCCCAGATGGTTGCCATGGGCTTCGTAAAGGCTCAGCTTAGCAGTCCCTTTGTAGGAGCTGGCACAAAAGTCAGAGACCAGATCCCTCGCAGACCCCTTGGGCCCTCAAACGCTGAACCCCAGATGGCAACGACTAAACCCTTAGACCCTCAAAGGTTCGCCTGAAACCACACTATAATATCAACATGAGTTACGAAAGATACTCGATATACCCGTAAATCATTCTTAAACATGTATATATATATGTATATATATATATAATTTTAAACACATATATAACTCTATATATATATAATTATATATATAATTATATATATAATTATATATATAATTATATATATAATTATATATATAATTATATGTTGCTGGGTCGCATCTCCATCTTCCCCACAGTCAGCTCCACGAGGTCACGCACATCCTGGGCTTAGGTCCGACGAGGGTCCGGGCTTGGCTCACCCCAGCGGACCCCAGACAATCTACCTACCTACCCAACTAGCTATCCATCCTGTCTGTCTGTCTCGGTCTCTACCTAGCTACCTGTCGACTAGCCAATATATCCATCACACCTATATCTAATCTATCTATCTATAAATAAATAAATAAATATCTAACGGCAACGTGTGATTGTATGATATGCGTCCTTGCGTGTGACATACATGACACAGAATCCTTCGCGACCGAACCCCCCCCCACAGCAAAACTGTAATTCAAAACCTCTGCCAGAAACACGGGCCTCTCGGAAGAGCTGGAAGCGTTTGATCTGCATCTCCATGCGCAGCCTCAGCCATTCGGGGCTCCTTGCAGCCTTCGAGGCTTCGAGGCCTACTTTTACTTTCTGAGATGTTAAACTTCGAACTTCTCGCTTCAGAAGGCAGTCGTGTGCTGAAGCTGTGGCAGTTCTCGGTCCAGACGCTGCCCCTGCATGGGAGTTTAGGGCTTGGAGCTCAAGGCTTAGAGACAGTCTTTCATCTTGGGGGCTCGGGGTTTAAGATCCAAAAAGCCAGGCAGGGGGTGCCTTGTGCACTTCTCGCGGGGTCTGACAAAAAGTATCCAACGCATGGTGGAAAGGCACAGAACCATGATGAACTCTGACCACGTCTGCGGGAAATCACACACGTCACTTTGGCGTGTGTTCTTGCAGGGTGTGGACGGGAAGCACCTAACTGGAGCCAGGACGCTCGTCTCCCTCACCTACCTTTTTGTCGGTAGCGCCTTTAATGTCACCCTCGCGTAGCTCTGCGGCAGCGCCTGTGGCGTCTGACCGAGCTGCCTCACGCGCAGCCTCCAGACTCTCCAGACTGTCCATTTCAGATCCCAGCCAGATTGCAGGCTCTTTTGGCATGGTCCCATCTGTGGCGTGGCTTGGCAATCGTGTTTCGGAGCTCAGGTCGGTTGCTCTGGGGGCCGATTGCCCGTTCATGCTCGTGATGCCGATGCAGCGGCTACGTCGTATTGTGACTGGGCTGATGGTCTCGGTGCGCAGATTTCTGAGCCAGCACGACGATGTCATCCAGCTCAATACAGCCACCGTCTAGAACATCCCCGCCGGAGAGGTAAGGCAACCTGCTCACCGCCTTCACATGAAATCCACAACTAGGTAGGAACTCTTGCACCAGTCTCAGCCCATCCTCATCCCAGCTGGTCTCGGTGAAGCTCAAGTCTTCCAAAGGTTGGCCGTTCCAGCTGGTCTCCGGGCCGTAGTAGGAAGCGGCGAAGGGGAGTGGGCTGGCCAGCAGCAGGAAGCCTCCTGGCTCCAAGAGCCCGCTGGCGGCCGCCAAGAGCTTCCTGGGAGCAGCGCACCGGTCCAGCACGTTCAACATCGACACGAGCGAGAAGGGCCGTGCCCGCTGCGCCCGCGCCGCGAAAGTCTCGGAGACATCCTCGCACCACACCTCGTAGCCCTCTCTCTCCAGCTGCCAGGCCATGCCTTGCGACGTCTCCGTGGCGACCACCTCTTCGCTCACCACGAGGAGCACCGCAGTGTGGCAGCCGTCGCCTGCACCCACGTCCAGCACCCGACCGGACGCTGCGGCCTTTGCGGCCTTCAGCAGCTTTCGCAGTTGTGGGGCCGTAAAGAGGTGGGAGCCCTTCGGGTAGAGACACGCCTGAAGGTCGAACTCGTTCACCGGCAGCTCGCAGAGCACGTTGTACAACGTGGCCGGGAGCCAGGAAGCCACCGGTGCCGTCTCTACGAAGCGCGTGGCCGCAGTGTGTGGGCCCAGCGGCACGAAGAGCTCCGCGACCTCTGCCGGCCAGGACGACGGAGCTTTCCTCCACTTCCTCTCCCCAAAAGTTGGCAGCTCCAGTTCGAGCTCCGCCAAGTCGGAAGCGCAAACGTCGACGTCCTCCGCCTGAGCCCTTTTCGCCAGCCTTCGCCTGAGAGCTTTGCGTTGCCTCTGTGCTTCGAAGCTGGGGCCTCGGAGGCTTGTGAAACACCCGTGCCACCAGGGCCACCGGAGCCAGCCCACAAGCAAGGCCAAGCAAGCGGGCAGGCACGGACGCAGTCGCCGAAGCCCGCAGGCCATGAGAAACTTCTGACTACGAATCTCTGGGGCACCTCCTCTCCAAGTTCGGTCACATCACCACACAAGAGCCGTCACAACTCTTGCAGCGAACCGCGCGTGTATGGCGATTCCCCTCCCAAACAACCCTCAGGAACCCGCACACAAGCTCCTTATTATCCTCTAGAACTATTTATCGTCTATAACACGAGATCCAAGAGGCGGCACCCCCCAAACTCCCGCGTGGGCTTCGGCGGGCCTGATCGAACTCGTACATCTCACGATTGTAATCAAAGAGCTCCTTCCAGATCAGAGCTGGAACACTACCTCCCAAAGCCCTCAAACTCAAACTCGTAAACAACACCCTGGACTTCGTCATGTAATGTTTCTTGTCCAAAACAAATCGATACTGTGGGAGCTTCAGACGATAGGGAAATCCTGATATAAACAAGGTACTCCTGCTTGCTGCAGGTCTAAATGCACCCCAGCACTGGGTCGTCCTTGGCGGCTGCGCCCATCGTTGCCATGAGCTCCACCATGGCCTTGGCAATTGTCGGTTCCGGGATTTCTACAGTTGGGGCAGGGGGGTTTGGCGGGTTTAGGTTTGTTGGGTTTTAGGGGTTTTGGGGGTTTAGAAGGCTTCGGGATCTCTTTGGAAAGCCCCTTTCCCTTCCAGCTAAAGTCAGAAAGCTCGGCGGAGGGCTTCGGATTTAGGGCTTAAGGGATTCGCACCCTACCCTCCCCTCCATCCTTGTCCGGCTGTCCGAGGTTCACAGTTCGTCGGCCTCGAATAAGTTTCGGACGCTAAGCTCGAGCCCAAAGCCCTTCAGCCCTGAAGCCCCCAAACCTCAAGCCAAAGCCAGGCAGAGAACCCACAGAAGCCCCGCGCCGGGACCCTTCCGGGATCCCGGGCTGCAAGGTCTCTGCGTGGGGCGCCGTATCGCTCAGACCGTGTCTCTTGCCGCAAAAGGGGCTTAGTACCCGCTGGGGACTTCGGGGCATGACGTGGGTGGCGATGACCAGTACCAGGGCTTATTGCCTGTGACTGTAAGACTGTAAGTTGTAGTTAACAGTTCTATAGCGTAAGCGCGAGCCGGGGTCAATACGTGAGCAATGTCCGTCCTAGAGTTGGGCCCAGGCTTCTGCCATGCTGACTGTGCTTGTTTGATCGCGGCTGTAGGCGCTTCTCCACCTCCACAACATGCAAAAAGAAAAACTTGAAGTACATCTGGCTCTCTGCGCCGGCCAGCACATGAAGCTGAGAGATCTGCTTGAGCCGACACAAGGCAGTTGAAACGGCCGACTGTCTGGGTTTCAAGCGGGGGCAGCGCCTCCGAAGTGCGCCTATCCGGTCCTATATTCCCCATTGCAGACGGAAGTGAAGTCGACTGTAGTCGACCCCCTGTTGAGAGCGCACCTCAACACCCTGATTTCCAGCCTCCGGAGGCGCTGCCGGGACGGGGGCAGACTCACGTCGACGCTTCTGCGCCGGATGATCGGGATTTTGTGTGCTGCGGGCTGAAAGCGCTAGGGCCGGCTAGGGGCTTGGATAGGGCGGAGGGTTCAGATGGGATTTCCGTCCTATGTTCACCGTGACCTTCCTGCATATCCGTTATACATTGACCCACTGTCTGAATACAACATAGTGCAAAGTCCTGACATTCAGCTTGACACTCAGCATTCTTCGGCAGATTTACACGCAAACAAAAATTCCGTCGTCTTGAATGCTAACACTTCTGTTGCCACATGTCATGAGGTTGCTACAACTGCGACGGCAGCACTGAACCTCAACCCATTGAGCACCAGCGTCCACCGTCCGAATTCCAGCTTCCGTCAACCAAGCACTCATACACGATTACATGGAGACGGCGCTCCGGTCCACAAAATTGGACCACTAAGCTGTGCATGTATAAATAAAAGTTTTACGTAACAATGCCAGAGCAACATTCTTTTGCAAAGCAACAATCCAATCGAACTACCAAAACAGATTGGTCATACATGACAGCCTGGAACATACCGATCTGGGTAGACAAACTGCTGAGTATGGAAGGAAGCAGGCGGGAAATGAAACGAGACTGGAAGCAGGTCGGCCAGCAACAGCCCTCGGCCCTAGACTAGACACTAATAGACCCTAACTCCCGAAACCCACAGCAACCATCCAATCCTGAACCCTGCAACCCTACATCCCAAACCCTAAACCNNCCCCCCCCCAAACAAAAAAAAAAACAGCAAGAAAGCTCTCAGCGATGCTGGCTTCGCCTGGGAAGGCTCGGCTCTTTGGCCTGGGCGCTGGGAAGCTTCACTCCTGTGCCCCCTCTGAGGAAACATTTTGGACGTTTAGGAGCTGGACCTTTCGGGGGGACAAAAAACTTTAGGGTATTTTGGGTTTGGGCTTTTCCGGCTTGGGGGTGCTGGAGGTGTTGTGTGGGCACCCCGGAGGCCCTTCGTCCGCGAAGCCGCGAAGGCGATCTCACTCCGCTTCCGAAGGCTGCAGAGCTTTGAACCCCAGGGGTTATTATCGTCGACCCAACCATACAATGCCCATTACAAAGCCCCGAACCGAAGCAGCCCTCGAATCGGCCTGCGGTGTCGGGGCCGCCCTTTCGGGGCGCGGACTTCGTGGCCTGGAGAGTTGCTTGTGGGGAGGGTTCGGGGCGTAGGCAGCGAAGTGCGCTGTCTGTGCGCTGCAGCGGCAGACGGAAAGAAAGCTGCCAAAGAGCCGACCAGCAAAGGCCTCCGGCACACCCTCCTCTCCCGCGTCGATTTGTGCCATGGCCTCAGAACTCAGGACCACACTCCATGTTGCTTCTCCGCTTTAAGATTTCGGACATGCTGCCCCGAACATGGCTGGCAAAACTTCGGGGCCGTTAATTTAACAAGCCTTGAATGCCCCGAACTGGCAATCACCCATCTTGCCGCGATCAAACCAAAGACTTCAAGCTTCTATTGCTGCGACCATGTGTGAAAGGTAACATAATAATTCCTGTTATCATTCCAACCCGGTGCCCGCGTCGATCAGCCACTGTCTCTACTCTAGTCCTTTCCGTCTTCTGCAGGTTGCGGAGGCCCCGGCAGCAGCCCACTTCTCCTCGAAGGAGGCGCGCCAGTCGCCATTTTCGAGCACATCCTATCAGGCTGCGGGCTCATGGGCTCTTTACGCTTCATGGCTGGAGCTGGCAAACCCGAAGACCTTCAAACCCTGCTGTTCGAGCGCCTCGTCTTCATCGACGGCCTCATCCCTGTCGGTGCTCGCCGGAGCAGCCTGCAGTGCGACCATACCACGAACCGCGGGTGGTGCCCAGGCGTTGCATGCGCACGTCATACGTTCATGCATCCATGCAACCACCCATCCATGCATCCATGCATCCGTGCAGTATTGACTGCATGCATTACCATGTGTAAACCTGCGCAACCACCAACGAACCAGGTAAGCAACCAACCGACCAAACCACCCACCAACCAACCCACCAACCCACCAATCAACCCACCAACCAACCAACCAACCAACCAAGCAACCCCCCGACCGACCGACCCACCGACCGACCAAAAAACGCCTGCGTCGGACTTCGAGCGAGTCTTCCCCGCTCGCTCTCAAATCAAACAGTGCTCAAGTCGCAGTTGTAGTGACTTTACGTGCGGCATTTGGAGTTTGAGGCCGAATTCGATTGGTCCCCCCTCCAAAGAACCTAAAATCCTGAATCCTAGGCACCCCCTGAAAACGGAAGGAAGCGTGCTTCAGCGCCCCCACCCAAACCGCCCTCTGAAGAGGCCATTCCCCCCCACCTTCTCCGCCAGGGAGCGGAAGCTCAAGAGGCCGGCTCGGTCCTCTCAGGGCTCCCTCTCTCTGGGGTCACTGAGGGCTTAAGCTGCTTTTTGCTTTTAGAGGTTTTGGGTTTGGACCAGGACTCCAAAAGTGACCTTCGTAACTACTTAGGGCTCTGCATTAGACAACAAGGGTTGAAGGGGATTGGGGTAAGGGGCTCAGGGGCGGGTTCAGGCTGGTTGAACGATCTGTTGAACAGGTCGTTTAGTGGCTTGGTGTGGGGTTGGTTCCTTCTGTTGGCAGGGGGCGTTCGATGGTTGGGGTTTTAGGTTGAAAGGCATTAGCTACGGTTCGAAGTGTCAGCCTCCTCACCGCAAGCATCATGCTTCAAAGCCCCAAGGAGCCCTGCAAAGTTCAAAGCCCGACTGAAGAAGATGCTATCGACTTCGCCCGAAGCCTTCCATCCGATGTATCCCAAAACCGAGGAAGAAGGCCACTCAAAACCCTTCTGCCTTGTTGTGTTGCCTTCAGAACGTGGAGATTGATGGCCGATCATTTACCGTTTGTTGGCCTCGTTTGCTTCCGGGGGGTTCTCGGATGTCGAAAAGGCCTATCCAGGGCCCAGGGCATTGGAGGGTTCATGTCACGACGACCGGGGGGGAGGAGTGCCTTCCGGCACCTCTTCTGTCGCAGCTTGCATGAGCGTCGGGCTCGTCGTTTTCGGCTGCAGGCTTTGGCACCCGGGCAATCGAACAAGAGGAGTGACACGGCGTGATACGGCAGTACAGGGTTCGACTCAAAACCGCCCAAAAGAAATCGAGCCGTAAAACCTCAAGGCCTTCCGGAACGGACGGGGGGCCAGAGCTGGGACCATCGTGACGGCTCCGAGGCCGCTTGCAAGACGACCGTCAGGGAATCTCCATCTGCCAGGCCGTAGTCAAAGACAGTCTTGTCTCCTTGCATCTCCAGAGTCCCCAAAACAAGCTTCACCTCCCCGTCTTTCAAGCCTTTCAGCTCCTCACGGCGCCGGATTGACTTGCAGATTGCTGAGATCCTGCTCCTCATCTTCACCACGTGTGTAAAAGAGCGGCCCGATGGTAGAAGCAGGTCCAAAGTGATTTCAGCACTTTTCAGCTTCTCGAGCTGGGTCACGAGCATTCTCAACTCTGAGGCACGATCCGCGATGTGTGCCTCGAGCGCTGGAACGCTCATGCTCTCGAGTCCTGGCAACTGTGCTCGTGTCAGCGCATTTCCAATGTCCGTCGCCCCCTCTGCACTATCCAAGACTACGTTTTGCAGGGTCGCCTGCACACGCTGGAATTCAGACGGCTCGCCGTAGAAAAACTCGGACTCATCCGAATCTTCGTGCCAGGGATCGTAGTCCGGATTGTACGGCGGAGCATAGCGGCTATGCTCCTCGACATCGCGGACAGGTTGCATGCCAGCTTGCATCTCGGTTGCTTGAGAAGCTTTGCGGCAGACACAGAGCATGATCCCCAGACTTGTCACAAACCCCTATACCCCCCCTCGCCCCCCTGCAAAAAAAACAAGATGGACCGCCCCTCAGCAGAACAACGCACAAAAGGAAACTCCAAGCCACTAAAACCCTGCCCCCCCCCCCCCTCCCGGCCCCTCGAAACAAGGACACCACTCCCAAGTACAGCCCTGCCTCTCGCGCAGAAGCTGGACCTTTCGACCTCGGCTGACTGGCATTTTTCGGGAATCAAGTTTTTGAAACGCTCGTTGAAGGGTTCTTCAAAGGGCTTGATGATTTAATTGAATTGTGGGACATATTCCTGTGGTTCTGCTGGGGTTCTAGTTTAGGGATGTGCCTACCATGAAAACTCGTTACTTTGTCCGGCTTGTTGATTTGGGACGCTTGGGATAGGGTTTGCGAGGCAAAGCATCTCGATGTTTTACATGCAATTCGTTCAGTTGCGATATCGGTTAAAGCCTGATTAATAACCCTGCCCCCTCCCCCCCAAGGTAGCTCGTGTTGCTTTTGTATTTCTGGACTGCGCCCCCTGAAATAGTGATGTCTGAGCAGCTCCTCGGTTGTGCCGATGGAGGTTCGCAGAGAGCACAGAAAGAATATTCAGGCATCCAAAATGCTGCTTTGGCTTCACCCAGCCATTTCAAAGCTCTGCGTGACTCTCCCTTGCCATGACTCTGGTGGAACGACGAGAAAGGCTGACCATTTTGGCAACCAGGTCAACTGCCGGGTTTACTGTTGTCCCGAACTCTCCCGAAGCTGCCGCCTGTGCGCTTGCCTGGCCAACGCGCTGAGGCTGTGCTCCGGTGCCCGAACTAATCACACCAGCCTTTCTAAACCCGCTGGATCCCCCAAAAACCTGCAAAGACTGAGCCCCACACTGCCAAAGCCTGCCAAAGACCCAAGCCCCCCCAAGAGCAAGGTCCCAGGAGCCGAAATCCTGACCCGAGGCTCTGGCTCGATGCCAGAGCCTGGAAGAATTAGGGATCCGCCTTTTTAAGGCTTCCGGGGAGCCCTTGAAGGCCTTCAGGGCCTTCAGGGTTGGGATGGGATCGAGAAGCTGTTTCGGGGATCCGTAGCTAATGGCTTCATGTTGGGGGCAGTCGGGGCGAGAAATCGAAATTCAAGTTCGATCCTAGAAGCTTGTCAGTGGGCGGGGTGTCTCCTCGCGCAGAGGCGTGAGGCAGGGCTTTGCGAATACCAGCCCTGGCAGCAGGTTCATCTTCATCTTCCTCTTTGTAAGGAGTGTCGATTGTTCACACCGACAAACAGCTAAAAGAGAGAAAGATGCAACATCAGGTTCAGGTACAGTAGCAACCACAATAGTAACGATGACACCAGCCAAAAAGACAATGAAAACAAGAGCAAATGACAACTGCTCAAGCCAAATGGCCCTTCACAGCGCTTTGGCAACAGAACACCCGCTCCATACTTTGAGTCTGAAGAAGCCCTGACGCGCCGAGCAGCGGACGACGGCCTGGAGCGCCCTCTCTGGAGACTTCGATGCCTTCGGGGCGGCTCGGCTTCTTGGGAGGCTCGGCACTATTCGAAAAAAAGGCGAAGCCTCGAGTTCCCTCGTCTTTCCTCTATCTGTAGTAAGGTGCGTCTCGTCAAGAGTCGCTTGCAGTCGGAGTTTGCGGCACCACTGCGTGTCACCACAAAATGAGTGTCCGGTGCTGACAGTTGCCAGGGGCCCAGCGCTGCACGCCCGCTCGGCCAGCTCGCAGCATCGGCTAGGACGACCCAGGTTCACACAGTTTCGCACATGTGCAGGCGTGATCGTCGCACCTTTCGGGTTCGCTGCCGGGACCTGTAGGGAATTGAAGGTCGCTTCGGAGGACTGGCGACAGTAGGCGTACATTTACACGGACAGGCCCTTGCTTCCAGGGTTGTCGATGCCTTGAAGAGCTCCAAGCCAAGGCGACTGCGGTTAATTAGGGGGCACAACACATCGGTGCCTCACACATTGGGGTGTGGACGGGCCTGGAGGGTGGCAGATGGCCGCATTTGCCCTCTGACTGTTCCTTTTGCTCCCACACGCAGGATGGCGCGCCCCGCACGCGGTCAGCAGGTCAGCAGCAGTCTTGGTTCTGAGGCCGCCTGGGCGGAGGGGGGAAACACAGAGAAAAAGAGAGAAAGAGAGAGAGAAAGAAAGAAAGAGAGAGAGAGAGAGAGGGAGGGAGAGGGGAGGGAGGGAGAGCGAGAGAGCGAGACAGACAGACAGAGAGAGAGACAGAGAGACAGAGAGACACAGGCACACAGAGACAGAGACACAGAGACACAGAGAGAGAGAGAGAGAGAGAGAGAGAGAGAGAGAGAGACAAACAGACAGACAGACAGACAGACAGACACAGAGAAAAAGAGATAAAGAAAAGGAGGAAGATAGAACAATAAAG